GGGGCTGGTGAAAGACAGGCGTTTCGAAGTCACTGAGTTTTTCTAAACATAAAAACATGCACTGCTTGGAGATCTGGAAGTTTTGTGTATTTATTTAGTAAAATCGAATGTTCATTAGTGTATAATATACAGTGGTCGATGACCTAGTGTTTCTAAGTACCCCCAGTGAGCAGTTATAGAGACTCTGAGAAAGTAGAAGAAAGAAGGAATAAAACAGCGTAATTATTAGTAAAAAGAAAAGTCTTGTGAGGTAATATAGAAGAGAGAAGCTTAGCGATGGAACATTTCATATTATGCTTAGTGTTTCAAATGCTATATTTTTTAATTCGTAATTTGCACCAAAATAACCCAAACACACACATTTATTTCCCTTTATCAACAGAGTTTTTTTCTTCTTCTCTGAAAGCGACGTCTTCATCTGAGGAAAATGTTGTACAGATCTAACATGTCCACCACTTAACCCACCGCCATTGCTATCGTCTGCCATGTTCAGAAATAATTCATAACCAAATCAACAGACTGACATACAAATAGACGTCCTTGACCTGATTTTTGCTCTTCTTCATTTGGAGTTATATTAAATTCGATATTTTATATGAACAAAAGACAATTGGCTAGTCATAGACAAATACAGGCGCGTCTAGATTGTAACAAAGTGGTAAGAGACATATAGTAGAACCCAATGTTTCAATTTTGTTCAACCTAACTAGACATTAAGTAGTATTTTTTTTTTCAATTTTTCAATTTTGTTTTGTTTCAACTTTTTTTTTTCAATTTTGAATTTACAAAAGAAAATATTCTGCTGAATAAAAACATTGCATTATTTCATTGGAAAACAAACACTTGATTTATCATGGAGCCAGAGGCTAGGGGAGGGTCTGTTGGTCCTTACCTCCTCAGTTTTAAAACCTTCCTAAGAAAATTTCAAACCTAATCATTGTTTTATTATTGGTTAGAGTAGATAACAAAAGGTACAGTCATGTGAACAACTGTACGTCTCAATTTTTTCATGAAAAAATCGAAATAACCTTCACCTTCACCTTCACCTTTACCTTTACATTCACCTTTACCTTCACCTTTACCTTCACCTTCACCTTTACCTTCACCTTTACCTTCACCTTCACCTTTACCTTCACCTTCACCTTTACCTTCACCTTTACCTTCGCCTTTACCTTCGCCTTTACCTTCGCCTTTACCTTCGCCTTTACCTTCGCCTTTACCTTCGCCTTTACCTTCGCCTTTACCTTCGCCTTTACCTTCGCCTTTACCTTCGCCTTTACCTTCGCCTTTACCTTCGCCTTTACCTTCGCCTTTACCTTCGCCTTTACCTTCGCCTTTACCTTCACCTTCACCTTCGCCTTTACCTTCGCCTTTACCTTCGCCTTCGCCCTCGCCTTTACCTTCGCCTTCGCCTTTGCCTTCGCCTTCACCTTCACCTTCACCTTTACCTTCAACTTTACCTGTCCCTTAGTCAGTTAAATCGTTGGGGCATCATACAAGATCTCTGTCTTTTGCATTGGATAGAATTACTTTTATTGACAGCTCTGTCCATTCTTCTTTATTGTCTTCCCATCACTTTCTCTGTCTGCTTCTTCTTCTTTTTCCTGGTACTGTTCCCTGAAGAAATGTCTTAGCGAGCCCAGCGGACCTTATGATGAGGCCATAGTGTTAAAGGTTGCATTTTTGACAGTAGCAGGTCATCGTGGGGTCAAAGTTCTATATTAATCCTGTTTCTAATCTTTTCAATTGTGATGCGGTCTCCGTAAATCCAAATAGTGTGAGAACTATCTGTGGTACTTTCGCTAAAATAAATTCGTATTAGAAATAATTATACAAGGAAGCCGCTCTCTAAATAGCTAACCTTTTTTGGTGTTTTTCTATAAAGCAGAATACGCAATTATTAATAAGCGATTAATTTTAGTAAAATAAATAATAATTTGTGTGCATTTGTCTCTCACTGGGGAGATCAGCTTTCTTCACTCTTTCGCTTGTAATACAAAGTAATTTTTATTGTATAGTTGGTAACAGGGATCTTTCAATGTGGCGTCCTTGACATTGTCTATTTATTCCGAAATTTCTCTTTTTATTTCCTTACGATTTTCTTAAAGTGTCATTATATCACCACCGCATTTCTGTAAAAAATATTTTGTCTCTAAATTCTTGTTTATATTCATCACAAAATGCGTATTGTGACTCCGTAACTTGTACATTTTGGTGTAAGAAATCTCTCTCAGTTTACGTTTCTCTTTAGATGTACACATGTACTTACTTTACTTACTTGTTGAATATTTGTGTGTGTGTGTGTGTGTGTAAATAAATAATATTATAGTATTATCCTAGCTTACGTAAATTGTGCATTTTAATAAATCTAACAGAAATAATGTGTAAAGGCACAAGCACCAAGTTATGATACAACTAAATTATTCTCTAGAAATAAGGGCTTGGTAGTGTCCGTTGGATGTTCCGTTACTTGTGTAGATGTTTATTACAAAGCTTATATTCAGTTTTATCCGTATGTTTCTTGTATGTTTGGATTTTAGCCATTGAAATTTTGACCTTTAATTCTCAATCCAATGGTAATCAAATTTTGCATACAAACTTACGATCGATGACAACACACAAATTACTTTAAAAAATCTACCAATTAGATGTAAGTAATTTTAAAAAAAAAATAGAAAATGAATAAAGTATGGGGGAGACATGCCTTTTGTAGCGAATCAGACGATTGGAATGGAAGGATAGATAGTGGGAAATATATGTGTGTGAATTATATCAAATACTGTATATTAATGTAAAGAAACAAAAAACTTTGTTATAGATTTGGTAATAAGCATTGTCTTAATTATTATTTCCATAAATTATTTACAAATAAAAGCGTTTTTAAATAAATTTAAAATATTGAACATGTTATTATAGGCTGTACAAAGTTTGTGGAAATATTTTAATTACTTTTAATCTTTCAAGTTTGTAATTTCACTTCCTTAATAAGAATAAAATTTAAAAAAAAAATGCGATTTAATGAAATACTACAAATATAAATAATACTTCACAAAAGACAAAGAAGAGTCATTAGTGCGCTCTCAACTTATAAGGTTGTACATTGTGAAATTAGCTGATGTTTCAAATAGGTTTTGTGGGGTATCCTTGTACATTATACGGGTTGATTGAAGTACAATTTATGGGTTTCATGAAGGGCATTATATGTGTTTATTGTACATTATGTGGGTTTATTGAAGTACATTTTAAGGGTTTATTGAAGTACATTATATGGGTTTATTGAAGTACATTTTAAGGGTTTATTGAAGTACATTATATGGGTTTATTAAAGTGTATTATATGTGTTTATTGAAGGACAATATATGGGTTTTCTGAAGTATATTACATGAGTTTATTAAAGTACTATATCGCCGATATGCCCAGAGCAATGGATTAACACAACAGATGTTCGAGTCAATATTATATCCCATTAGACATCTAACCTCAATGTAATGTAATGTACAGACAGAGCGTTTCAACTCTGTGTTCTTTAGTACATACTTCTTTGGTTGTTGTCGTTTAATGGCCAGTGGTAACATTTGCTGTGAGATTAAGACATTTGTCTCTTTCAGTTCAGTTCAACGTATCAAAGTTGCTCTTAAATCTTTGAAGGAACTCCCCCCCTCCCCCTCCCCTATTCCCCCTAATGTTCCTGCGTTATAAGAATACAGCAAAAAAAAAAAAAAAAAAAAGAAAAACCAATACCAACTAACAACAACAACAACAACAACAACAACAACAACAATGTCCTAATTCAGTAAATGGAGAAAAATTTTTTTTTCAAAAAAACGAACCAGAAAAAAAAAAAGAATAACATAAAAATACTTTTTAAAAATATAGCTTTATATTAAGTGTAATTGTATCAATTAGTTTGGATCAGTCATATAATTGACTGGTTGACCTTGACCAGGGGTTCTCAACCTGTGGATCGCGACCCCTTTGGGGGTCGATTGACGATTTGCCATGGGTCGCCTAAGACCATAGAAAATATGGATTGTTTTTGTCTATTCTTCTATTGTTGTATGTGTGTGTGTGGGGGGTCGCGTCAGAGTGGGGGATTGTAAAAAGGGGTCGCCAAGCATAAAAGGTTGAGAACCGCTGACCTAGACATATAAATCTTTTGTGATTAGAAATATTTTTACCAGTTATTTTGTTTAGCTTTCTCAATGCGCTATGATCCTATCACTTGTCTGGACCAGTTGGGAAAGGAGGGGGAAAGTATCTTTGTCAATGTTTACATGATCGTTTTTTAAATGCATAACAAATTGTTCACTTGGGGGCTCAAGATTTTTCAAGGGCACTAATTCAACTAATACCACCACATCTGTTAAGTACGATTTGTTATCCTAGTTCAAGATACCAAACAAAATGATTAATTACCAATAGTTACTTAACCCAATTGTTGTCTTATTTAACTGATTCTTGTGTTGCCAGGTACAAGAAACAATTGCAAAGTTTCAGCTTAATCCGAGACTGGGTTTGAGAGAAATAACGTGTACAAACCTTTTACCATAAAGATATAGTAATTTGATATAAGCTTTGTAAATTACTGATAAACATATCAAATAAAGGATGATCATTAGCTCTATGAAATGCATGCTTTAGCTTGTTGACCTGTAAGAGTAGGGGGGAACTGGGAAGTTTCCACGCTCTCTTGTTAGGTCGATAAGTCCCACACCAATCATGTCATCCTTGATTCCGTCTATATTTTTTATGAAAGAAGAAATAAGGACCTTTGGCTCAAACCAAGTAGATAATGATGAATGTATACAACTACAATATCCTGTTTAAATTTCATCATTTTTTTTTCAGCAACATTCTCAATACTAACTTCTGCTAATTGTTACAATGACGTGAATGAGAGAGAGAGAGAGAGAGAGAGAGAGAGAGAGAGAGAGAGAGAGAGAGAGAGAATACAAAGTCTATAGCTACAAAATAAACAAACAAAAAACAACAACTGAAAGTTCATTGAAGTTGTATCTTTTATTACAATTTCACTTCATTATATACAAACCTAAATGAATAGAGAATAGAAAACGAAATAGCCAACACATACAAACACATACAAACATACATGCGCTAGGGACAGACATTCAGAGAAGAAAATACCACGAGGAAAAAACACAATAGATATGTGTTTTATTAGAAACAGCTTATCACATATAAGCACACACATTAGCCATTCATTCAAGTAACTGGCGGGGCACACACATTTTATAATATATAATTGACAATCCTCTAGTGTTTTCTGGCATACATATTAATATACATCATTATTTCACTAATTACTTCTCATGGATAAAACAAATAGCAATCGAAAAGTATGTTTATAATTCAAATAACAATACACAATTACTAATGGAACATAGACACTTGGAGGGGCGAGGAGAGACAACTCTCCACACCGAATAAGAAAATGTGCTGAAGTGAATGTCGAATCAATTGGAGAGTTAACGTTACTAGATTGAACATAAGGGGAGAAGAACGAGATTTGGGGGAAAAAAAGGGGGGGGGGGGGAGAAGCAACACGATCACTAAGGCGTTGTGAGAGGGATTTCGGAGGAGTGAGATAGATCGATACATCGAAGGGTCGTCTCGAACACATGCAGTAGACACTCAGAACATAACCCAACTCCACACGGCTAGAATCTTGAAAGTGCAGCGAGTTAACATACTGTCAAGACTAAACAAAGGACATCACACATGTATGAGCAAATAATGAGCATTACACTTTTATTTTACAACACTGAACGTAGACGTTAAACTGCACCTTTACTCTTCATTTGCTAAGCTTATCATATCTAGATCAGCTTGAAAAAATAGCGCAATACATTAAGTTATAAATAGCCCAGCTGTCAGGCTAAAGCATTACTAATGCTGTATTATAAATAAATATTTGTGCTACAGTTATTCAGTCTACAAATCAAATACCAATCACACAGAATGAACCTTCAGTGAAGTATTATGTAGAGCCAGGGCAAAAGGAAAAAAAAAAACCCAACTATATTCACTATTTTTCTCAAGGCGACCATATAGACAATACGAATAGACACTGATAATAAACATTAATACTAAAACGTATTGAGCATTTTATAGCATCATTTTTCCTATTAACATGAGACTGTCTGAATCAGCATATAAAACGTCCCATGAATCAGCATATAGATCTAAATCCTAACAAGTTGGCCGTAATAGCCCACTATTGTTTCTGTCGGAATTAAACGAGTGTCTTCCGTGTAGCGCAGCCACCATTATGCTAGAACAAAAACAAAGAAATCAGCTTACAATCCTACAATCCAATTTATTCTCCTATTTTGTTTGTTATAATTTTGAATAATTGCGATACAAGTTTCTATACTACTGTACGCTGATCTCTTTCTGAAGAGAATGCGTCGATAAAGTTGGTGCTTTGTTCCTAATGTTTTCAAACCGTTATAAAGGACATCACTTTAGATAACTATAACTATGTAGCCTAGTTTTATTATGCTGTCAATACCGATAGTTAGTAACTAAATAGTCAGTAAGGATTCCGTGAATTCGCTCTTAAGTGAAGAGAGAAAAAAATGTTATTCACTTTTAACATTCTTGATCTAAATACAAAAGATTCCCATATTCCTGATATTTTGCCTAAGTATATTCAAAAGAAACAGCACCATAAAATATCTGCAATCTATTCTTACTTATGATATACCTGTAAACTTTGACAGACAGTACACTCCAATAGGCTTCACTTCTAATACATCTAGATCTATACTAGAGCCGAAATCTTATAAGAGAATGGTAGAAGTCTCTCACATTCGTTGTCTCATGCAGGGAAAAGCTTATGAAAACTGTTCTTTTTTTCAAAGTATAATAGAGTTTAGATTTATTTACTAGTGGATCATTAGTATATCGGTTACATCTGAACAAATAAATATATTTTTGAACTTTTAGTAATAACTGTACAATACACAAATTTACATCAGTTGGGAAGCGTGGTCGAGAGCTTAGCTTGGCTTGGCTACCTAGAAGGGGGCTCGAGGTTCGACACCCAACTCGGGCAGAGTTGTGTTTACTGAGCGCCTAAAGGCAGCACGGAAAACCAATTCCTAGATACCCCCTCCCCCCCCCCCCCCCCCCCCCACTGGTCCACAAATGAGATTGGACCAAAGCGCTCTGAGCATGCTATAAGCATGAAAGTAGCGCTATATAAAAGCTATAAATATAAATATATATATCAGTTCTTTACGAATCGCCGAAAATTGGAGAGTGATATATATATATATAATGTTTCTGGGTATCACAGTGTCGTCCCACTCTTATCTTGTCTAGAGATCAAATAAAAAAGCAAAGATCTGAAGAGAAAAAGAGTCTCAATTAGTACAAGAAAAAAGTTTCACTTTACGAATAAGACACCCGGTTTGATTCGATCATTCGATTACGTCTCTGTGCCTGAAGCCAACAGTCACCAGAAATCCTACTACAAATTTGCATACTCATAAGCTGGTAGTTTTGGCTTTTGAAACATTTCATATATATCATCCATCATATTTTCACACCATAAATTCAAGAAGCCCAGGTAAACTTTGCAATCAACAGAAGTTAATATCTTCAAGTACTTAAGTACTAAGCAGGAACATTATATGAGTCATGCTATATTAATCTATTTGTACAAATAAGGGTACTATTATAGCAAGACCTAAAAGAAAGCAATAAAAAATGATAATATTGAAAAGTAACAAAACAAATAATGATATATTGAATAATAAAACAAAATAAATAGAGAAACTGAATGGATAGACCCACACACAGAAACGGAACACTAGTACGAAGGATATAAACTTAGTAAATTAAATAATTTATTTAAAAAAAATTCAAAAGCAAGAATGAAGCTTATAAAATATATATTAAAATCTTGGGTATTATAGCGTACAAAACATACAAAAGGAACTATATTTATAAATCAATTTGAAATATTTTTGTTTTGTTTTACTTGAATTAATATTAAACTGAAAAACAAAACTTCACAGGTTTGGGAGAAACAAGTGAGCAAGACCAACAGTTGTGTCCCTTCAATTCACTGCAGTTTCATCTTGTCACAGCCATCTCAATTTCCTGTGACATGTTCTTTTAGCAAAGCCATCGAAAATACGTCTTTGTTGTTATAGTGATCTAAACGACTGACTGACTATAAGAAATGTAATGGCTCTAGAGCCTGTTTTACAAGAGAATGCTGATCAAAGATATTGGCGTAAAACGGCCCAATCTAATTTGCAGTTTAAGAAGATTATTTAAAGTTATCTCTTAAAGCCCACATAGAACCACAATCTAAAACACTTTGAGCCAATGTCTTAATGTCAACCTGTAAATGACTGCATTAACATTTGGGGGTTGGCAGTCATTGCCTTCAGTGCTATTTGGGGGTTGGCAGTCAATGCCTAAGAGACATTTGTGTGCAGGCATTCAATCCCTTCAGTGACAGTAGTGTGCTAAGAGTCAATCCCTTCAGTGACATTAGTGTACTAAGAGTCAATCCATTCAGTGACAGTAGTGTACTAAGAGTCAATCCATTCAGTGACAGTAATGTACTAAGAGTCAATCCATTCAGTGACAGTAATGTACTAAGAGTCAATCCATTCAGTGACAGTAGTGTACTAAGAGTCAATCCCTTCTGTGACAGTAGTATACTAAGAGTCAATCCATTCAGTGACAGTAGTGTACTAAGAGTCAATCCCTTCTGTGACAGTAGTATACTAAGAGTCAATCCATTCAGTGACAATAGTGTACTAAGAGTCAATCTCTTCAGTGACAGTTGTGTACTAACTGCAACAGCTTTTAGTGACAAGTGGATGCTAAATGAAAGAAATAAAGAGTGGAAAACATAGAATCGCCATTTCGAACAAGAAAACAGAAGTTAGTAAGAAAAAAAAACACTATGTCAGACACTGTCATGTTCTATTTATGAAATGATCTTCGTGTCAAAACAACGGATACCAGAAACAAAATTGTTTGGTTTAAAAAATATTTATTGATTTTTCAAAATGTTTGGACTTGTCATCCTCCTACACCCAAACTCCAAGTCTGCTGGAGGCCTTCAGACACTGACATGTTCTGTGAATTGACTTTCCAGTGAACTGACTTTAAAAGCCCAAAAACTAATCAGAATGGTTTAATGTAGTGGGTCACTGACAGTTTAAATACTGATCACTATATTCGCAATAAACGGATGGTGACAACACAAAGACCCTAACACGTAACTATTGTGTAAGTTATTTAGTACTAGCGTTGTGTTTATACTCTATATTTTACAATCGTACATATATATATATATATATATATAAAATAGTTTAACTTTAGAAATTTAAATCATATATAGTAGCAAGCTCTCTATTCCATTGTGGAATAAATCAGATGACAGATAATTATTTAATGAGAGGGAGGGTTCTCATACGATGAATGTGTCAGCAGACAAAATGTTAACATAAAATACAGAACTGTTGATGGCGTGACTTTTAATATACTTTTGTAATACTTGTAAGTAGGTAATAACTAATTATGTTGGTAATAGTATTAAAAAAAAAGAATCCCAACATACATACAAGAGTCCCATCCAAACATGGCTCTCATACTGAAATGTCAAATACATTTTTGCCTACTTAAATTCTAAATTTGCTAGATTAAACAAATGATAATCAAATGAAAAGATTATATTGTGAATCAAGAAATATGGGAATTAGTACACACACAAGCCAATCACACACACAAGCCAATCAGATTAGTCTCTCACATACAATTAAGCCATTCATTTCCTTCCCGTTCAAGAGTACTGACGAGAAATTTCAAGAAATAACTGGAGGGGGAAAGAATACATAAATACATCAATATTTCACTTGACCGTATCAATAAAAGACAAACTAGAGTGGAATTCCAGCTCCTGTCCATCGTAGACATTTATTCCCACGGAAAACAAGATCTGGATCTAGTCGTGAAAACAACGCACAATTGTCCTGGCTCTGACATTGATTTTAAAGCAACCATTCCCTGGCGCTGTAATGACTAAAATATACTATCTTTGCTTCTTACGTAGGCCTGCACGTGTTGAACGGAAACCTCTCTGCCCCCTCAAGATGACTGTGAAATAAGACGACTGGAAATAGTGATATAAATATTTTGTTTTGTCTCTATCGATTCATGGTTTTGTGTAATAAGTGTGTGCTCGTCACCTCGTGTGCTTGCTTTATCTTTTTACACCAAACTTTGATGACGTCATCCGAGAATTAAATTGATGCATAAAGCGTCTTCTTCTGATTGATTTGAAACCACGACAACCATACACAGAAACACCTTTATTCCCCCTTTTTTTTTCTCTTATATTTCCGATGCGTATGAATAATAAACGAATGAATTGACAGTCACCGTGCCTGAAGCAAAGTTGGACTTTTTCAAATTATATAAAAGATTAAAGATAGGTAACAATTTCATAAGAACTATAGATTTATGCGATTTGTTGATGCCGTCCAAAAAAACAAACAAGAAGAAGATTATATCCTCATCAATATCCACTTTGTATACATATCAAAATGCAAAGTAATCCTTCCAAACGAAATGCGATTATATACCCATCATCTGGTGATGAATCCAAAGATATAAATATTGATCACAAAGAAATGAAGTCTCTTTTAGGTTTCCTCCGAAATACTCCGAGATATGTTCTAGTATTATGTTTGGACAAAAAAGGAAATATTTCCTCTAATATTAGAATAAACTTGACTATTTGTTAGGTCCAGTTAATTGGATACAAACATGGTGTACTGTTGACTGTTTCTCTTCATGATTTCAACACAAGGACCTAGAAGTCTCTCGAAACAGTCCCTTTCTAGGAATGCTACTTTCACTTTACCAACGGCATACACGTTGGCAGTGCGAGGTTTGTTCTCGATGAGGGCCAGCTCCCCAAAGTAGGTGCTGGTCGTCCTGGTGCCGATGTCGGTCTCCGTGCCATCCGGGGAGGAAATGGTGATGCGGATGTGACCCTCTTCTACGAAATAGACCCCGTCGGGGTCGTCTCCCTGCCGAATGATGGGCTCGCCATCTTGGTAGACCCGAGAGACGAGAGCGTCGGCTAGGGTCATGCGTTCGTAGCGGTCAAGGTTTTGTAGGATGTTGACGCTCTCCAGTAGGGTCTCGTACTTCTTTCGCTTTTTGAAGGCAGATTTCAGGACGATTTTCCGGAAGGAGTTACGGTCCATGGCCCATAGCGTGCCGTCTGTGACGGAGCGAACAGTGGCAGAACGAGGCATGTTATACATGAGGGCTAGCTCCCCGAAGCTCCCCCTGTTGTCGAATTGGTGGACTTTCTTCTCCTCTCCCTTGATATCCACCAGGACGTCGTAAATGCCGTTGTCGATGACGTAAAAGTTGTCTCCGTCATCTCCTTGGCGAATCACCGTCTCCCCGGGGGAGACTTTTTTCTCAAACATAGCGTCGATAACCTGCTGCGTTTGCTCCGGCTCCAAGGAGCGAAAGAGCAGAATGCCGCTAACAGTCTTGGTCAGTCTCTCACGCTGCTCGTCCGTTTTCGGGTAGATGATATGATCATCGTCGTCCTCATCTTCTTCCGGATTGTATCTCTCGGCGGACACGGACTGCCTGCGAGCGTAACGACCTGTCGTGGACTTGGGTTTGAAGGCCGTGCGGTCCGGTTCTCCCGCCTCGTCATCGTCCTCCACGATGATATACATAGGAACGTCCTTCGGCTTCCTGGCGTCCCTGGCTTTGGTGAAGTAGTCCACAGCGAAGTCATACAGGTCCCCAGGCCGCTCTTTCAGCACGGCCACGGTGAAGTCTCTGAGCAGGTCGCCCAGGCCGTCTGGAATTTCTAAATTCATTGTCGTGTACCCTGCCGAAGAGAGACGCACTCGGGAAACGTCACAGGGAGGGGGGGGGGGGTAGGATGTCAGAGATGGGTGGGCTCGTGAAGTGGTGGAATGGTCGCAGCGAGGCGGCTGGCGAGGAAATAACACTTTGTCTGGACGTCAATCGATATGCTGGAGTCTGCAAGTGAGTGAGATCGGGTAAGATCAATTTGCGTTGTGATTTCTTGGAGTGCTAGCAGAAGCCAATAACATAAACTTCACGATTCTCAAGAAATCTCATTCCATCGGACACCAGTGTTTAAATTTCAACCATCCTCTTAAGCCAGTGAAGTAGACATACAGTTCTAGCATTTATCTTGTTCTATAAATCTACAGTGTACATATAAGTATATAGTCTTGTTATATTTATATATATATATATATATAAATTGACTTCTCTCTTTTTTTATCAATAGATTGCTACGTGGAGGCTAATGAGAAACAGATGAGTCTGGTATCGATGTTCAAATGTTAATGAGAATCGAATATAAGGTCCAGATTTTTTAACAAGCAATTTCCCAATGAGAACTTAAATCGATACGTCACTTTGCTTATGGACCAGGAGTTGCTAGTCTTAGCAAAAAAAAAAAAAGAAATCCTTATTTGTTGGAGTTTTGTCAAATTAAATTGGAAACCCGTAATATAGAATGGAATATAAATTATAATTTTTTCATTTCCATATCTCTGTATAGAATTCTTAATCTTTTCAAAATAATTATAGTATTGAGCAAAAAATAAACAATTTTTAAAAGATATAATTTTGCAAGATATTTTTTTATTCCTCTCGTTCAGTTAACGTTCTTTCATTCTTAGATGTCTTCCATATTACTGCATCAATGTTGCTGAGAAATGCGAAACACTCTTACGTAGTTGATAGATTGCAATTTGATAACTGAAGTAATGAGAGGTTAACTCCCTTGTATGTATCTTCAGTTTAAGCCCGCAGGATTATATCCTCTAATCAAGTCTTCAGATAATTGGAGCAAATAGTGAACTACATGGGTCCGAGGTTTCTTGAGAAGGTATTTGAGATGTCTGCTGGAGAATGGCGGAGTATTGATCGGTCAGCAAAAGAGTGGACTTTGAAGACTGTCCCACCTGCTGAGCGCACAACTGAGTATTGATCCACTCATAAGACTGACGTGTTCATCTCCATCATAAGGTGCTTAGCTGGCGCTAGGTCCGTTGAGGCCCTGGTCAAGAGAAAGAAATACACATCATTGTTACAGATAAAAGAAAAATAATCATTTTCGTTGTGGTATACATTACACAACTCTTTTTCTCTTTCTTTCTCTCTTATAACTACACTAGCCGGATATGACCCTTGGCCCTTTCATTTGTATATCACTCTTCTAGTGCGTATGATACAAAACAAAAACCAAGACATTAATCAATCTTAGAAGTAAAGCTAAAGCGTGAATCTAAAATGTTAACAATTTATTTTTACATTTACATTGGTTTGTCGTTAATGGTTAAGACTTTGAACTTTGAACTCGATTTGACCTACGAATTGTAAAGTGAGAGGTCAACAAAATCCAAACTAAAGACTTGAGAGGCCCTATGTAGTGGTAGATTGAAAATTATATGTAAAAAAAAAGCCCAATAAAGCCGTAGACGCAGATTTAAATTAGATTGATTTGTTTCAATTAGATTAAGATATCTATCTATCTATCTATCTATCTATCTATCTATCTATCTATCTATCTACCTACCTTTTACACACGCATACACACACATATATTGTTCTACATCATAAAGTATTTAAATAAAGAATCAGCTAAAAATAATATAATCTTTACTAATAAGCAAATTTACACCTGGCACAAATATGCCAATGTATTTTTCCAAGAAACAAATTGATCTATAAAAAAAAAGATACATCCTTTTTTTTTCTGAAGTATACGGTAATATATTTTGTATTATTCCACATTCTTCCACATCCTTCTCGTATTCAGCAACATGGAGGCAGTTATAACGTATTCAGAAGAACGTAACTATTTTGATCAATTCTTACATTAAATGAAAGTTCCTGTAAAGAAACGATGGCTATACTTCCTACTGGTCATTGCGCTTAGTACGTTATCTGAACTATTTTCATTTCACGTACTTTTGAAGCATATGTCCGCATACAGCGAGTCCCAGATGAATAAATGCGCTCACGTGAACTAAGAGCTATTTATTCCACGCCCTTTTCAACGCTTCAAAACTCATTTCTTGATGACGTGACTAAATAACACGATTTGGAGGAAACAAGTTCTGTACATCTATCTTCTAATAGTTTCTTTTCTATTGATTTTTTACAATAATCTCATCAAGAGAAGGACGCGCGGAAGAGAGCAATAACATTTTATAGAGAGAAAAGGGGGAACAAAAATAAAATGTTTGAACAGATATTTTGTTCATAATGGATTTCAAGTTTTAAGTCTGCATTAAAAAAAATAACAACAGGCGGGTTTTCCTTTTCAATTGTATTTCCTTAGTGTTTCAATGTCATAGTCTATATTTTAGCAGCACCCGAAAGGACAAAAGCTCCTATTAGTTTGTGTGGTCTTTTTTTTCTATTCGTCCGTCCGTCTGTCTGTCATACAACAGATATTGAAAATCCGATATCATGATATTTTATGATCTTGCAAAGTTCTGGTGGAACTACTACTTTTTTAGTTTCCGAAAGTGAACAGTTTTGTTTTTATAATAATAAGTTAAGCATTTTTGTTACATAAAATATACACCTCTTTTCAAATAAAAGATTTCACCGGAGATATGTATTTGTAATAGGTCGCAGACTTCTTCAGTGATAACTATGGTTTCAGTGATGTATAGGTGCAATGGTAAAAAAAAAAATATACATTTGAGAAAAAAAAATATCTAAAAATAATTAATGGCTCATTATTTTATATTTCTTCACATTTGTTAACTTTTTTTCACATTTGTTAACTATCTTTTTTTTAGTAAATTGTTCATTGAAAATTCTTGAAAAATTTTATTTTTCTATCACGTATCCCTGGCCTTAAGATGTCCAGCCGAACCCAGAGCTAGATCAAATTAAACATTTGAAAACGATTTTTTGATTGATTAAGAAATAAACATTTAAAAATTGTAAGATAAAACATATTAGAAAAGCGATATTTTGTTATTATGTCATCAATTATTCTTGGATCTAGATGGAGATAGATCTTTTTGACCATGTTCTTTCATTTTCCGAAATCAATCTGTCTATGAATGGGACTCTTTTACTCTATAATCTGACTTATAGTACATTTGATTTTCTCACCAACAGGAAATGGACGCTTATTAAGTCTATTTCACGACAACTTCTTAAAAGTCAATTTCATAACAATTATATTTTTGTAAAAGTCAGTTACGCAATAGCATAACCTTTTAAATCAACACTATTAATATTTGAAATCGTTTAATTGAAAAAAAATGCACAAAACATTGCCAAGAGTCATTTAACATTCTGTTCTTTCTTTCATGAAGAACATTTTGTTTCATAAAAAGAAGTAATCATAGTGCTCCTATTTTTTTTCTTCATGATTAAAATAGAAAAGAAAAAGCAATATGGAGCATGATGAAAGAGATTGATGGGAAAGTTTGACATGACACCCTGGAAATAAAAAGAACATTGTCAGCATTGAACTCATGACCTCTGCAGTGGGAACCAATCAAACATCTGGATGTCTAAACTCTTCCGTTTGAACCAATCCTACATCGATATGTCTGAACTCGGCAGTGGGAACCAATCAAACATCTGGATGTCTAAACTCTTCAGTGGGAACCAATCATACATCGATATTTCTGAACTCGGCAGTGGGAACCTATCAAACATCTGGATGTCTAAACTCTTCAGTGGGAACCAATCATATATCGATATATCTGAACTCGGCAGTGGGAACCAATCAAACATCTGGATGTTAAATATTTAGTGATAGTGAAACGTTTATTGTAAGGTCGTGCTCATCTCAAGGCAGACTGTTCCCAAAGATGTTTCTAGTTTGAATCACTCATGATTTCAATCTATTCACTTAATAGTTTCAATGCTTGAATCACTCATGATTCTAATAACTTAACCCAGAATTCAACACTCAATGGAAACGTTTAATTTTTTTTTTTTTACGTACGGCAACTACAAATGGCTTACACAATCAGGGAAGGAAACATTAATTTCTCCAAGTGACCATATAGCTCATGTATATAATATGTCTCCGAAAAATCGGGAAACACAATAGAGACAAATATTTGGCACGTCTTGAAGCTTAGACCAGCGGTGCACAACCTTTTCGTCATGGAGGACACAGACACGCTTATTATCGTGTCCGATGAAACAAAACCTTTACGATCTCATTATGCACTGTGTCTAAAAGGGTCAGATAGCTCAGCGTCACGGGAAGAATGTGGCCCGCCAGTGATATAGCACTACTGCCCCTTATGACAATCTCACTCTCCCATACAATTTTACCAAACTGGATCCTACGATTTAAACTTTAAAAAAATATATTAAAAATACTGTACTACCTACACATGTCCCACCACTATCTTTTGTATACACATCTTGTTCGAAATAACGATATAAAAGAAAAAACTAAATAATGCTAAACGAGAGGCAGGGAAGCAGGGAACTGGTGAATGAAATCATTATTACCTTACGATGTTTTTACAAAAAGTGGTTTACAGACAACTGGTTTAACGGCGATTCGATCTCAACGAATCGTCGATGAACCATATGTCCGTGAGGGATTTGTGTGTGCTACATTTTTTTGATGAGCCGAGTGTAAGGGTGGTGAACCATTTATTTAATGAGCCATTTATCTGATGAACACGTCTAAGATCAGCTTAAGAGCAAACTTGCCTTAGCTGACATAGAAGAGAGCACCTGGTTGCATCCGGCCTCAGAACGAAACAGCTGGAGTTCACTCACTTTGAGACCAAAAGAAAATCCGCTGCCGAGGACAAACACAGACGGCGAAAAGAAAATCTAGATCGACCAGCTGCGGACAAAGGTTGTGCTTGCCCTGGATGTGGCAAAATATGTAGGTCACAGCTGGGGCTGCGCAGCCACGGGAAATATTGCATTCCTAGTGTATCTTTGGACTCGAAAACTAGCCTTATTATTATTATTATTATCTGATGAAACTTTTGTCTGATGAACCAATGGTTGTGAACGAATGAGTTGCCTTCTTTAAGATGAATTATTTTGTGGGCAGGAATGGAATACGTCACTAGACGTCACATGAGTAAATAACACGTTTAACGACGTCATCAGATGCTGACAGTCTATGTAAGTTGTCTAAACTCTAGGGAGACACTGGGCAATGCAATACTCTGATAAATCATATTATTATCACGAAGTTGTTTTTTTTTTTACATTGAAAAATGATTAAAATTGCCATAGAAATAGAGAATCAAAAAAGGCTATCAGGTTGATACTTATAACGCAATATTTAGTCTAACCCAATGGTTGGAAGCTAACGAGGTATTTTTAGAACGTTTTACAGTGGTGTGTGTGTGTGTGTACATTAAAGCAATATACTTAGTGATTAATGAGAACAATTTTTAAAGTGAACAACCTCGATAGTCATTACATCAATTATCCGAATGCTACCTCTA